GCCGCCCTCCTCCTCCCCTGCCTCCCGCGGCTGCTCGAGATGTCGATGCGTCGGCATGGCCTTGGACGTCTGGCCCTGACGCCTCCGCCTCGCTGGGGGAGGAGACGAGCTTGATGAAGTGCTTCTGGGCGTGCGACCTGACCTGCTGGACCGACCTCGTCCCGATGAAGCTCGCCATGCTCCTCGCCGCCCCCGCCCCTAGCCCCACGGGGATCCTGTCCTGCGTCACCAAGCTCCGCTCCTTGGGCCCGAACATCTCCAGCGCGATCCGGAAGCGCGCCTCCTCCTCCTCGGTCCAGGGGTGACGCCTGAAGGCGGGCTGCTTTGTCTTGGGCCTGCCTGCTGACCCCGACCCTCCCCCGCCCTCCTCCTTCCCCGCGCTCGCGTCGCTCTCGACGCCCTCGCCAGGCGGGTCCCACTGCCAGTGCTCGAGGAGGGGATGGGCGTGTAGGGCCTGGCTGTCTTGGAGGAAGGGGTCGGCGAAGGCTGGCTGGCTGGCCGCCAGGCGGGCGACAGCCTCGTCCACCGACTCGTCGAGTGCTGCCGGGTCGATGGCTGGGGGAGTCTGATGGTGGAGGAAGCAGTCTTGCATGCTGATCTTGTCGCTCAGATGGAGGCGGAGGGTAAAATAGAGGGGGGCGGGTAGTAAAGAGGTGTGGTAAAAGGAGAAATAAACTCTTGAATCTCAAGGTGCCGTCAGCAAGCAGGGATTGCTGACATATCGTCTCCTCGATGAGGCCTGACCGATGCTCAGGGGCTTGCGCTTCAAGGTGATGGAGGGGCTGGTGATGATGCTGATGCTTGCGCTTCAAGGTGATGGAGGGGCTGGTGATGATGCTGATGATGGAGCCGAAGCTTGACGATGAGGCTAGACCTGCAGCAGCACTCGAGGCTGGCCAGGCTTGGCTAAGGGCTCGAGCTCTCACGCTCAAGCTGCACCCCCAGGTCCTGAAGCTCAAGCTCAACTGTCGACGATATGGAGAGGGAACGCGCCGTCAGCCTCTGAGCCTGTCGACCCTGATGCGGGCAGCGACGAGTACTCCTGGCTGCATGGCCTGGAGGCAGACCCACACGCTCTAGCCCAAGCCGATGAAGACTCAAGCTCAAGCTCAAGCTCAGGCTCAAGCTCAGCCCCAGGTTGCCGCCGTCTTTCCTCGTTCGCCCCCGCAAGACGCAAGAAGAGTGGTAAAGAGACGTCAGCAGGCCTGTGACTTGAAGATGGGGAAGCCTTGATATGTCAGCAATCCCTTCTTGCTGACGGCACCTTGAGATTCAAGAGTTTATTTCTCCTTTTACCACACCTCTTTACTAACCGAACGTGGGGAGCATCACCTGTC